TGCCACAGTCATCATATAATCAACATAAAAAGTGTGAGTTGATCAAGTTAGAATTTTGGATAATAATCAATATCAGTGTCTATGAGTTGGTCGAGATGTATAGTAATACGTTAAGAACTACTATTGTAGATTCGATCGATATGTACAACATGCTTATTTGCCATTTAATTTAATTCTTAGAATACTCATAAAGTTAAATTAAGAAAAACCAAATAAGAAAAGAAAAATAATTAGCGAATTGTAGCAATGCAAACAAAAAATAGAGCGTGCGAAACAAGAAAAAAAGAAAAAAATTCTGTTCGAAACGCAGAAATAAATAAGACAAATTTGTACTTTGCTGATCGATTATGTTGGAACAGAACTATAGTCTATGACAGATTTTTCACTTCATCTACTTTGTATTAATTTATTGAGACTAAATAACATATGTAAGTTTCACATTTCAGCCCTAAAAGGATCGAGCTAACAAGCTTTTCCAAACTATGTTGACCTCAGTTAAAGTCATTTCTAGGACTATGCCTCACCTATGTATCATGGAAATGAAAATTTGATGTACTCATGACCTAAATGATTAAAGCTGTTAGCATAATCTCTGTCGGATTAAAATGTGAAACACGATGTAGCTGCTGTTACTAATTATTGAGAGATTGTTGTATTCCACATATCTCGGAACACATTCCTTTATCTTTCTTGTACTTAATCCACCAGAGATACAGTAAGGAAGTAGTTCAAATATTAGAATGAGACTTCATTGATATATGGTCTATAATCGCCAACCATCAACGTCTGCTACAATCTGTGATGGTCTCTAGAGAGTGTCTGTCACGGTCTATGATGGTTTGTGGACGGTACATATTACAATCTTTGCTGGTTTCTAAGGAGCATTCGCCACAGTCAGTAGGGAGGAAAGAGGATAGATCGAAATATGTGCCCCATACACTTCAATACTTCTTTTAGATAGTGTTTTACAAAAGTAAGACTGTCGAAATCTCAATACAATTTGTTTTTGTTTAAGGATGATTTGAGTGATCAAGTACTTGGTATTCATGCGACACGCATCTATGTGATTCTAGTGATAGTCGGTATTACGACACTCATGATCTACTCATCATCAAAAATCAGTACACGTTCAGTGACAATATTAAATCCATCTTTGACAACTTTCGAAAGACTTCACAGCACTTATCCGACAACACTTATATGTCCATGTTCACAACAGACAGTAACTTACAACAAAATACTCATCATTTCATCTCCACGATATCATCCGGTGAGAAATGACATATCAATTTTCGAGTTCATCATACATTTATTAAAAGTCAAAGCAATACTCTAAAGGATACTAGATTTCAGTATTAGAAAGTATCATTTGAAACTATTTTTGTCTAAACTCAATCAAAGATTTCTTGCTGAAATGAATTTTGTCTCCAATTGATCAGATTGAATTCATAATCTAATAATATTTCTTACTTGTTTGTTTTCGAATTCTAAATTTGTACACTAGATAAAAGATTTCTGCTCCATCCATTTTTTCATATGAAGACAATTGATATATTTTTAAAAGTATCCAAACGTAGTATAGTCTTATAATGTCTATCAGTGAGCGACTCGGGTCGAGTCAGACCTGTGACGGGATCATTGAAAAAGAGTTGTTCTCAAATCAGGTCGATTCACAGAAAATGAATCCATATCGGACACTGATATCTACTTAGTAGAAGCATATAGTTAGAATTCTCTTTTCGTTTCACGTATAGGGTTTGTTATAATCATGAGTGTAGACTACAGCGTTTATCACAGTTGAATGAAACACTTAATAAATCCATGCTGCGCCTCATTTTGTACAACTCATGGTTTTTTAATATTATTCTTCTTGCAATCATAACAGTGGATTGAAATATAAAGCAAAATTGATATTCATCATGTCTAAAATTGTTTCATCATGTCACTTTCTAATCTCACAGAGATGATGTTAACACTATTTGGATCACAATTGATGAAATATAGCATAATACAGAGATCAACTCATTCTACTTGTCATAATAACATCGCTATTTTGTGAGACACGATTGGAAATGAGTGTTGAAGTATGTAGCTAGAAAATTGGATCCTCCTTCCTTCGCAGACCGTGAAAGACATAACACATCTTATGATGTTTTTCGGAGTGCGGAATTTTGGTTTAGGAGTTTTCGATTTTCGGCACGTGGGCTTGTGGATTTTTTGATCCTGATTCGATTTGAAATTCTGAAGTTCGAAAAAACAATTTATCTCCCTTAATGCGGTATATTAGACCCTATTACAGACCGTTGTAGACACTTAGAGTTGATTCTCTAGTGACTTTGCAACCCATCATGTTGAATATAAAAGCATCTTCATGTTCATGTGAAATAGGTTCATCATCTTTCACATTTTAATCCTAAAGGGATTACGCTAAAAGCTTTCTACTGTGAATGAACAAGCAGTGCAAATGTACTTTGATCATCATAAAGTATATATTTGTTAACAAGAAATTTCTTGATCTTTCAGTCTAGGGACAAATAAATTGCTATTCAATGAACTTTACTTGTAACTTTCTGGATTCCAGATTATTTTGTCTAGACAATAGTTATTTAGATTAACTTTGATTCCAAATATCGTTTACAAAATATTTTTCAATCAGTGAGAAAACTACACTTTTTGTTTTTACTGAGGAAAAAGAAATTAACACTGGCAATTCAAGCCATCCTCACTTGCATCCATATACATATGCATAATCCTTATTTTTCATTTACAGATTTGCACAAGTGACTTTTTGCATCCCATTTGGCTCGATGGCTTCTTTACGATCCGATTCTCTAATGAATCAGATAGGCGCAATATTTCAAACGATGACTTTCGCGTTGCTGGGTTCACCTTCTTCTATGGCATTACATTCCTCTGCTTTTACGCTCAAACCTCGGTCAGTGATACTCAAGATGGATTGATTACGAATGAGTTTATCAGCACAAATGCACTTTCTCGTAAGTAGAATACTTTTTCACATAAATCTTCACTCTTATTCCAGAGTTTTTCTTTTTCGACAAATGTATCGAATACCGATCTCAAATGTTTTCAATAGTTTGAAGTCAATGCTATTCGACAATCAGTAGACGACTTTATGCATACTCCAATTGTACAGTATCTAGATGAACTTGAGTTTTATTTGGAAAACCTCTGAGTTGCCCGGATCTACATTGTTCTTGAATTTCAGCGACTCGATATTAGATGACACAGGTAGTGGCCTTCATCCGACGGACAACACTAAGATCATCGTTATCCTAGGAAAATACAATGACGAATCATTTTGTTGATAAACAATTATCACTCTTGAATGATGTGCCATTTTCATCAAGCTCAACAACACTTTTCAAGACATATTAGTCTCATAAGAGGAATATCAAGATATTTTTTGCAAAACAATATTTTGACGATCGCTCCAGTGAATTCGAAAGTAGGCTTATAAGATATCCATCTGTCAAATGGCGTATATGTTGTATTGTATTGTAGACATATGACAGTGATTGACTTTTGTTACATTTATTTATATTAGAAACTTTTTATAAAGTTCAAACGATTGCTTTAGCGAGTTTGTGGACTGAAATAAATTTTCTCAATATATTGGTTTTCATACAATCAGTGTTTTACTCTCTTTTCCATGAAAAAAAGTTGAAAACCGTAACAGAACTTATTCGAAAATCATCACACTCTGCCTATAGCTACAGAACTCTGTGATACAATTTAACAACTATTCCAGATGATGTGCACTCGTATATGACTATATAAAAGTTCTTATATTCTGCTAGTTTTCTTATACTAACGATCAATTTTTAACAAGTAACTCCATTTTTCAGATAAAACCGATACGACTCATGTTCTAATGAAAGGGATAAAAAAAGAAAAATTTTGATTAGGATTCTTAGGCGATATTCTGTTGGTTCTTTGCAAGGATGAAGACAGTGAGCGATATAGTTCTGAATAATGGTGCGGACAGTCAAAGAATCGATCTATTAGTGTACAGAAAATAGGTTTCTGTCAAACAATAATGCCACCCATGGTGAGGCGAAGCATTTGAGAGAAAATGACAAACGATGACAAGGAAGAAGCAAGTCAAAAAAGTTTAAAATCGAGTAGTCCCATTTTCAAAAGTCTGATTATATACTTATAAATATAGTTTGAAAGAACTGGGTTTGTTCTTCATTGATATCTTCTACTTGGTAGGATTCAGTTTTCTAACTCATTTGATATATTTCTCTCTGCTTCCATGTTAGATGATAGAAACTAGTGAGGTCATGGAAACCTGCTAGATATTGCAAATCTTTTGATTTGATTCTAAAGATTATTTCATCCTCTTGTATTAAGGAAGCATATTTGAAGCACGTATAGAATCCATAATTACCGCATTTCTGGTGAATTTAAAGATGAACGATACGATGTTTATCACAATCCTCCGAAAATTTATTGCTGCGTCTGGATTTCTGAATGGTATGCGTTTTCAATCATTAGTAGTGAATGGCAAGCCTTTGTTGCGACGATACTCTCCTGCTCCTTCGGCATTTAACGTCTGCGCTTGTAGTGTTGCATTTGATTGTCCAGATCCTTTATGGTCTGGAGGTCAATTTTTGTGTCAGTACGGCGACAATTGCACAGTGGATACAGTAGTCTGGAGAGTACCTGGTCTAATCAAGTCATGCAATCCTTTCGAATCAATCTTGAATTCTGATTTACGCTGCTTCTTCAATCAGACCTGTTTGAATATTCTTCTCTCCATGTTCAATGTTGATATGCCTAAACGACTGCCACTACCTTCAGCTACTCTTAATATCAAACCTTTGAATAGTTCAGCTTTGTCATTGTTCTTACTGGAAGATACAGTTGAGACCATTTTTAATCGGCTGATGGTTGGAGAGTGGAAAATGAGCTCAATCTTCGATGGCTACTATAATAGTTGTGCTGCTGCTACCTGTACATACAGAATCGTAAAGCGAATGGATCGCGTTTATATTGTTGCAATTATCGGTGGACTGTTTGGTGGTCTTGTCACTAGTCTTCGTCTTATTGTTCCAGTTGTTGCAAAACTTTTCTACTGGATTATCCTTCATCAACGTCAACGTCGAGCAAATATCCATAATCGACAGCCTGATAGCCATGAAGGTAAATAAACATCTCGTACTTAACAGCAAAACTATGTAGTAAGCATGCAGATGAGAAAACTATTGAACATCTTTGGGTCATTTCTCTGTGACTTTTTGACAAAAAAGAATTTTCATCTAGAGGATAGTGAATTATGCTTGTGATGGCATGAGAAATTATTGACACTTTCATCGTCTATTTTTGAACAAAAAACTTTCAGCACAATTCTGTGCGAAATACAATTTGAAGTGTGATGGAGCCGATTCTGTACAGATATGAAGACTCTTATTATGCTTATCATGATTCAATCAAAGCTCAAGAAAATACTCTTCAGGAGTGTCGGGGACACGAGATAATATATCACATTCAGAAAAAGAAAAAAGACTTTTGGATTTAGTGGATTTCGACCAGATGCAAGATCTCCAAATGCTTCGACAATATAAAAGTTTGCGGTCTAAATTTTTAAAAGAATATGTTGACATGTCTGCCACGATCTATGACTACGCCAGGAAGTGGAGATTCACTTTTCTCACCATAAGCTTCAACACTGTTTAACTATCGTGTTTATAAAACTTAAGTGGTTACATCTAATTCAATACAATAATTTTATCAAAACAATTTTCCTTTTCTTATGTATAATTCAGGACACAAGGAATATATGAATAAATATGCTATTCAGTTCGTGAAAATTTCTCTTTCTATGAACCAAACTTGATAGATTCGAATTTGAGATTATAACCATGCGACGCATACATCTTATTTCCGATAGACACATTTTCATAATAGAATGATTTGTTTTGTCTTTTGTTTTTTCTTAGATCTATTACATCAACTGAATAAACTAAGAATTGAAACAAAGAAACATTTGGTCAAAATGAATCTGTTCAGAAAAGAATGTTCCATTAGTCAAAAACCAGATCGCGAAGAGGTGGCACTTACATCAAGTCGAATCTATGTTGTTTTACTCAGTGCAATCGTGACAATACTTGCCCTTTTAAATGGTTTCAGTGTAATCAATGTCTCCAAAACGGTACTGTCACCTTCACTTTCTACATTTGAACAACTTCAACAAACATATCCAGACACACTCTCATGTTATTGCCAAAAGGCTACTCCATCATTCAGTAGTTTCATATCTATCAAGTTCAAATTTCACCAGGTAATTTATGTGGATCGATGATATTCATATGCGTATGAGCACCATTTCTCTATGCAGTAGTAGAGAGTAGTTCATCATATGAGAATGAGGCTTCTCTTGGAATATGAAACATTATTTACGGGACCGACCTAAGACAGCCAACATAGGACAAGGGAAGGAAGCAGACCGTTGTGGTATTTTTTGGGAGAGAATAAAAAACTTTTTTGACACCGGACGCAGGAAAAATTTTTGGCGCCACTGGAAAAAGCGAAAACTTTTCATGATGATAAGTTCACATCCACAACGCTGCCCAATAGGATCAGCCTGCTTATTTATATGCAAAGACACAGAAAAATACACTTATAGTTTGTATGATTTTCAAACATAGAGAGCTCTTGATTGTTAGCTGATACCGACACATAATGCTACTTACTGAAGATAGGAAGATCTTTTATAAAACGACAGCATGTTAAACTTAGCTTTTTTAGACCTCTAAGTGCTGTTGCATATGATATTATCTGTAATTTACTGATTTCTAAGATTTTTCATGTGATGCATTGTTCAGATCTGTTCGAGTGCATTTATCAATACAACATGGACAACACTATTATATGGATATGGACCCTCTGCAAACAGCCATCTACAGCTTGATCGATCTCTTCTCAGCAAGCATTTTCAAATTTTGAGATGGATGTGTGAAGAATTAATAAAGAGTGCCAATGTAGAATTGAACAAATTCAATCGACAATCGATGCTAAGCGCAACTGTATTGCCTCGAAGTTCATTGGAAATAACCGAAAGTATCGTCTACCAAATTCGCCAAATACAAAATGGATTTCAACGATTTCAATATTTCCTACTAGAAATGTTTCACTTGAGTTTTTTGCCGACAACCTTCAATACTGATTGGTTGTTGGAATATGGTGACGAATCGGATGGTTATCTCATTCGAAGTGTACCTCGCGTATTCACTAATAGTACCTGCAATTGTATGATTTCGGGAGCATGTCAGGAACCACTACGAATCGGTCCACCAGGTCTTTTTTTACCCGGTCTTGTAGTTGGATGTTTACCCTATGATGGACTCCGCATGTCCACACTTGAATGTTTCTTCTCATCAAGTTGCATTTCTACCATTCTTACTTATCTTGAATACTACACACAAATGGATGGATCACCACCTATTAATTTCATTCCACCCACAGTATTACCCATAAATATATCCCCATTAGACAACTCAACACCTTCACGTTTTCCAAAGAACACTTCAATCGGTACACTTTTGGACGAATACTTTCTCGAAGAATGGAAATATAATGTATCATACGAAGATTATTTTGCTGCATGTGCACCAACTCATTGCAATTTTGAATATGTCACACGCAATAATCTCTTGTACGTGGCTACATCAGTACTTGGCCTCTATGGTGGTCTTACGATTGGCTTACGATTCATTACCTGGAATGCCATGTGGCTTTATCGATGGATGACAAAGCGTATTCGTTCTCATCGAGTTACTATTCAATCATGATTTAAAAAACAGACAGAATTACATTTGTTTAATCAAGCACTATATTGCTTAACTCTTTTCATTATCAAACTTCATGTAATCACTAAGCTTTTTCATCTTTGTTTCACATTGATATTCAAATAGCTTGAGCCATGTTGTCTTTGTTGCTTTTATGCTGATATCAATTACTTGTTGTCTAAAGCTACATGTTCATCGATATTGTCATTCAAAAAAAAGAGAAGAAAAACGTTAAAAAATTCATAATATAAATTGATTTATTTAATCATCACATCACTATCATATTATCCATTGAAGCATTGAACAAATAACTGGAATACAATGTTCCTATCACATTTACTATGCTTTTGATCAATATTTTACATATCTTCACTATAATATGTCTCTCAAAATTCAGACGAGAAAAATTCGAAAAATATATACTTGACGAGGAAAAATAAAGGAAAATAGAAATTCAAAAGCATTAAATGTTAAAAATCTCTATCGAGAAGTATGTGATATCTCGTGCTACGTTGCTCCATTAATAAATCGTTTCTTTAAATCAATAAGTGACCTGACTCAGAAGTAACGCAGAGGCTTCCCTATAACTATATAACTAGGTTAATAGATATTTCACTTGGATTGATGAATCTATTGCACTATTTGATATGTTCAGCTGAAGGAAGTTGTGAGAATATTTTCCTTCCTCTGCCTCTCATAATTGTAGAGTTAGTAAGGTGTGGGTGTGTTTCCCTGACACCGACACAGACACCCACCTCGCTCACACCCACACTCACATCCACATCGACACCTACCCATACTCACACACTCACACACCCACATTCTCAAGATTATGAAATGACGTTCGTTCTGATATCGTATTATGACATCGCACATTTTTGAGCATTAATAGATGATCTTAATCATATTGTACCGTATGTGTTAATATCTGTGATATGCAGCATATATAGAGAATGATACATGTTTCTTCTTGTAAAATGAGTTTTTCGACTGTTCAAAAGATCGGTCGTTTCTACCCTATCTCACTTTCAACATTGGCGATCAATGACTTGTACTGTGTATGATCATATTTGCCTCACATAATCCTTGTTTTCCTTCTCTTTCATCACTTCGTTCATATAGTATTTTTTTCTTTTCTGTATCGGTTGAGAATGTGACTGCTTGACAATCAATTCTCTGAATGTAGGACGTATGCGTCAACTATTCCACGTAAAGACGCTTCTAAAAGGTGCAATAATTAACAAGTGTAGACTATCGTAGCTCTACATTGAACAGTAATAGCGATCCTAAAGTATAAACAATTATTTGTCTTCAACTGTTATGTCAATGCCCGAACATTCGAGAATAAAATATAGTAATTTAGATTAAATAAGTAATGCAAGACGATTTGCATGTCGACTTTTTCTTCTTTTGTTCGTTCGTTTTTCTTCTTCTTCTTTTTCTTCTTCACCTTTTGTTCGTTCTCCTTCTTCTTCTTTTGCTCGTTCCTCTTCTTCTTCATCTTCCTTCTGCCAAAAAAAACTCGCGCAATTTACCGTTGCGACGCAAAACATCATCTAGAAGAAGTTGTGTGAGTCCTTGAGAAGCAATTCATTTATTCTCGTCAACAACAATCACGTGCTTTTTGTCGTATAAAAAGCCATCATTCAAACTTCAATCGTTACTTTATTCAAATAGATTGCAAACAATACAATGTCTTCAACAACCTCTACCCATGACAAATCATCTGATAAGGCTAAGGATTTGACTAGAAATAATGGAACAATCAACGATACACATCAAACAACAGAAGCTCACAAACACACCAATACACGTCGCAAGTCAGATGCAGAAAAACATGCTCATGTTGACGCACATGTGAAAATTGCTCATCCAGGTACAGATTCTAGGCTAGATAGCGAATTCGGACTACGAGGACTCCCGCTTGCACATACTGCTCCTTGAGAAATAATCCTGGTTGAATACAGGTTCTTTATTCTCATTTATTGGTTCTTCAAATGAGATAACAAAAAGAATTTATTCACAATTTGCACCTATTCAGTTGAGTGCATCGATTATTCGGATCCTTTTAGCCTTATACTTTTCTTTTTTTAGTAACATGTCCTCACATGAGATTTGCATTAGAACTTCATCAGAGATTGTGTAAAAAAAAACTTTTTCAAATAACAATTATTAAAATTCTGCGTGTAGAATAGCTCATATTTTGATCAAATCTGAATAGACGGACGAATCATTTGGAGATAGTGCTACCCATGGCGTAAATTTCTGCGAAAAAAAAAACGCGTTCCGCATCTGCTAAAATAAACGTTGTGGAACGATTGTTTCTTAAAAGCATTTCGTAGTATTTCTGAATCTGCAGTATCGCATACTTTGGAAGACAGAAAAAAAAACCATCAAGTACTTCGCAGAACTCAACTTGCAGATGCGATCTATATACTCATTTACATTAGTTCATAGAGTTATAGAGTTAACTTATATTAGTTTTGATAAATTTAAGAGGTGGATTCGAACACAAGAACATAAGAGTAGAAGACATCCACACAAACCGTTCAACTAAAATAGTCGAATGATATAAGTGTTCATTCTATTCTTATTTACATATCTCATACAAATTTATGATTCGAATAAATTTTGTTTCATGTCTGAATAAATTATGAAAAATGATATTCTTTTTGTTGCTTCTATCCAAGTGAGTGTCATTTTCCAGTCAATTTACCTTAAATTGAACTTTTAGAAATTTAAATTTGTAAAATTTTATTTTTTTAAAGTTTAAATACCCAATTAAAATGAATTTAATTTCATATAATTGGATTAAAAATTCTAAAAAGATAAAATTTTGTAAATTTAAATTCAAAAAAATTTAAATCTTAACTTTGCAAAATTTGCAAAAGTTCTGTTGGATTTAATGACTTTTTGTAAATGTAAATCCATGATCACTAAATACAAGTGCATTCATAATTACAAGAATATTTTTTCTGTAATTCGAACCTCTTTTAACAACAAGCCGCACTTACAGACATCGATAGTATACGAACGAAAGTGATATTCTAGTCGTGTTTCGGAGAGTATTTAATCAGTCACTATAAGGCAGTCCATACATAAATTCACAATGATTATTATTATACATTGTAAATTGCGCAAAGATACTTTTTTTCACACAACAACGTTAACCTGTCCTACGGATTATTTTTGCATCAGTCTCTACTGAATTTCTTCAAATTCTTCAATATTTAACAGAATTTTTGATTCAATGCTACGAAACACGTTTTCTTTGCATGAAAACGTAGTGAAATGAGTTTTCTAACAGAAGATAATTATAGATACACTCTAATGTTCAATACTAGCCTAACTTCAAAACAGCCTTAGAAAACAACGTAATTCGCGTAAGTTTTAGAAGAATTTGATTCTGATCTTGACTAAAGATGGCTTGGACCGCCATCTTGAGGATTAAAAACAATGCGATCGGTCAACTATTTGTAAAATCATCTCGCATAATTTCTAAAATAATATCTGAGTTGACTTTTCTTAACTCACATGCTTTTCGAAGATGAATTGGTGTGAGATGCTCTAACAAAGGAGATCAGTTTTGCATCATTCGAAGTGTAAACAATTCAAAATGCATTTTAAAAGAACCTGTTTCGCGTTTTCTTCGAATTATGGCTGTGTACCATGCTCTTCTTGTCGACTTAATGGGTTTAATAGCTTTTCATTTCGGAAATGCTTCGAAACGTAATCTCAAAAAGAAGCGTTTCATATCGTTTTGAAAATTCAAGGCAGCAAAACGCGTTTCATCTAAGTAAAAATACTGTGAAACGCACTCTGTCTCGAAGAAACGCATGCGCCAATCTTGTAAACGTGCTACGCAGTACGTTTTATTAAATATTTTACTTCATAGATAATCTAATAGCTCTCTATCAGCAGTCAAAATATGAACTCAATATCTTTTAATCGTTTGAAAAAAATGAAAATAGTATTTACAAACAAATCCTAGAATCCTATGGGGTAGCTCAAGCATAATATGCCAGTTCTTTTATATAGCAACTGCTGATGACCATGCAAACGAGTCAGCTAAACTTTCTGAAGCTGCGACTACAACGAACATCCATTCTCCTTCTAAAGCACACACACATACGGATTCGCACGGAAAAACAGCAACGCATGTCAAAGCTGTTAATCGAAGTCCTCGACGTAAATCTAATGCTGATGAATTACAACAGGATACACACGGAAAAACAACAATACATAGTCACACGAACACACATGGAAAAGCTGGTGGGCACAGTCCGCGTCGAAATTCTAATGCTCATGAACATGCGAACACGCATGGAAAAGCTGCTACGCATAGTCCTCGTCGCAATTCCAATGCTCATGAATCACATCAGGATACCCATGGTCAATCAGACACACATGGAAAAGCTGGTACACATACTCCGCGTCGCAATTCTAATGCTCATGAACCAAAAGACGATACTCATGACCATGCGAATAAACACGGAAAAGCTGCGACGCATAGCCCACGACGCAAATCCGATGCTCATGAATCACATCAGGATGCTCATGGTCAATCAAATATACATGGAAAAGCTAGTGCACCTAGTCCGCGTCGAAATTCCAATGCTCATGAACAGACGAACACGCATGGAAAAGCTGCTACGCATAGTTCTCGTCGCAATTCCAATGCTCATGAATCACATCAGGATACCCATGGTCAATCAGACACACATGGAAAAACTGGTACACATAGTCCGCGTCGCAATTCTAATGCTCATGAACCAAAAGACAATACTCATGATCATGCGAACAAACACGGAAAAGCTGCTGCGCATAGCCCACGACGCAAATCTGATGCCCATGAACCACATAAGGATAGTCATGGTCATTCAACCACATACGGAAAAACAACAACACATAGTCACGTCGTCACACATGGAAAAGCGGTTACACATCATAAATTGGATGCTAACCAACCAGAAAATGACATACGCGACGAAGTTAAGCCTGAAAAAATCGAATCCAATGAAGGCGAACCGCATAATGTTGAACAGACAGGTATGTTTCAGTCAATTCTCAACAAAGTATTCTCGTTTTTCACCTAAAAAACTGAACATTAGCGTTCGACAAATTCGCGCTAGCTTCATTCTAAAGCAACACTCTAATTTATTCTCAATTTTGCTAAATGGTAATTGTGAGATCTCTTTATCTGGCAAATTTGAGAATATCGATCATTCAGCTTAGCAAGATCATATTTAAAACAGTTTTTCAAAGAAGAATAGATGTTTAGAATAAGAAAATGGTTTTCGAAGTCTCTGCTAGAATTTTGCTGTTATTTGAATTGTTGTATATTTGTTTATTATAGAAACTAACGATGCAGTTGCTACTGGAACGTTGGAAACTACGGAAGACAACGCCGATAGACATTCTGACAAAACCGATCAAAGCCAATCATAATACAGTTTTTCCAATGGTACTTCACCAAACTAAATCTTCTTCTAAAGTTTATGTATTTTCACAAGTTTTCTTTTTTCATTATATCTTTGCATTCGCATTCATCATCAATAAAATACATTGTATATTAATTGTGATATACAACTTATATATTGATGTATGGTTACATTTTCGTCTGTGCAATTTGACATTTTGGCTACTTCGCAGTTATAACTTTATCTCTTTCTCCTTTCATGCATTCTCATATATCGGGTTGGCATTTTGTTTTGATCACCAAAA